ACTTCACTTGTAACACCCTGTATCTCGAAAAAGAAACGTTTTCGGACCAATGTTTATATGAACTTTTACTCCTATTTTAGGATGTTGCTGTTAAAATATGACCTTCTAATTTCAGGACACCCTGTATATAGATAATAAAAAATGTTAATAAACAATTGAGTTAGAGCTCCGTTTCATATCTCAATTTGTTCATTATTTAACTAAGAACAAAAAAGTCCAAGAGTACAATATGTTTAAAAAATATATAAAAAATAGAAAGAAAGAAAAAATTCACATAAAAAAGACGTATGGTTGTTTCTATATTTTTTAGTATTTAATAAAAAATATTGCACAAAAATTCATTTGTTTATAAAGAATTGTTTGTTTAATAAACAAATGAAAAGTTAATAAAAAAGAACGTGATAAATAATGATTTAAGAAAAAATGGTTCCTTAATAATAATATTTAGTAACAAAAAAAATGTACGTTTTTTTGTCAATAAAAAAAAATATTTAAAAATTATTTTTTTTTAATCATTTTCATCAGAAATTAAATTCCCAAAAAAAAAATTTCAAAAAATCTTATTAATAATGCATTTGTTTATAACAATTATTTATATGATGAAAGTTAAAATTTTAAAAAAAATATTTTTATATAGCTTTCAGCAATAAGAAAACAAAATAATAACATTAATAGAAAAAAATAATTTTTCCTGATTCTTTATTTACATTATTCATTTTTTAATACCTTGATTCTTAACAAAAAAGTGGAAAATCAAAATATCTGAATTTTTCCAATGGGGATCTTTTCTAAACCCTAAGAATAGCTCCAAAAAAGTAAAAAAAAATAGGTTTCTAGTTTAGAAATAAACAGCGTTTTTATGTTATCAACTGGTAAAAAGCACAATTAATTAAAAATTGGGATAAAAATTTTTTGTTGACGCATTTTTTTTTTATTCCTTAATATTTATATTAGTGATGGGACTTTTCATGAAAAATAATTTTTGGACTAGTCCGGAAAAGTAGTGAAAAGTCACAATGAAAAATAGTCGACCTTGAGCATAAAAGATACACAGTTAAATCTCCATCCTGGATGTTTTTTTCAAAAACACTTTGGGAACAATATTTGCATTGTATTTTCGTTTCTTTAGGCAAATCATTTGTAAAATACTGTTGTGAGAACTCCTAAGCCAACCCTGTTCTGCTCGCCGCTTCATATATGTTTCGATCCGCAGGACAGAGACAAACGCACTGCTTCGAGAAGTTACCAGAAAAAGCGTTACGGGGCCGTTGAGTCATAGAGAGGAAGTTCCTGGAGGTTCTGAATCACCTAGAGTGCTCTGGTGTAGAGCCGGCTTTATATAAATAGCGCTAGTTTGTCGATAGACCATAAGTTTCAATTTAAGTGTTGGACAGTAAAGACCAATTGTAATAAGTAAATTAGAATTGTGAGTTTAATAGTGCTCAAGTATTATATAAATTGATTAGTACTTTATAAATAAATTATTTTTAAATTAAACAAACGGTACAATACTTCCAACCTTGAAGGTTTTTGGTTATTTTTTCACTAAGGCGAACGTGAGCAGGGTTTAAAGTGCCTCAGAGGTCATTATAGGTCATCTAGATGGATGTAGGACCTAAAGTTATAAAAAAATTACCCCCACCCCCGCTATATACCTATAGCGAATATGAGCTGGGTTTTTTATGGGACAAATCGTGATAAAAAGTATACGGATGGATATAACAAAAATATAAGACAAATCGAACTCTAATGTTTTTTCTTCCCCCCATTTGGGGGGGGGGGGTTAAAAAACTTTCAAATCGAAAAAATTCTTACTATAGTGATGCCTTAGGATAAACAAAAATGTTTGGTTCCCCCCGTTTTTAAATGCCGTAAGAAAAACCTTGGATTTTAAATTTGTATATATGGCTGTATAGAGAGTCCCGAAAGTAAACTAAACAATTGGTGCCCCCGTCCCCCCCATTTTTTTAGTAGGGTAAAAAAAAATTAAAAATCGGGCTCCGTTGTGCACACCTTTGGGTTGTATAAATTTTTTTCACGACCGCCACCCTAATTTTTTGACATGGTTGTATTGGAAAAAATCGGTTAACGTTCGAAATGATTTTCATTACATTCCTCCCCCTTTTTTTTTTTTTTTTCAAAATACGAAATTTTTGTTTTTATGAAGGGCAATGACTAAAATGCGAATAAATTGGGTAAATTTTCATCGGAAGAGGTCATTGTGATTGGCCGAAGGTGGAAAATCCTTAGCTCTTTCGTTATTATGTAACGTGCATTTTTAGCAGCTCAAATTACTAGACTTTAAATTCGACTCACCTTGTCTAACTAAACGAAATAAGGTAAAAAGTTATCTAGATTGCAATTTCTGTTTGTCTTTAATTACAAATTCACTACCTTTCAAGACCATATTCCTCCCAAAATTAAGATAGTAAGGAGTCTGTTTAGTTGACTTATTAAAATAAGTACGTATAGCACGTCATTTATGCCAAGTCAACGTCCCACCTTCGATGATTATCAGAAACATACATTGCAACATCGTTTTTAAAATTCTATTATATCTTTCAGTAGGATTTGCCTGAGGATGATAGTGGGCGTTAAACCGTACCAAAACTTCATACTCCTTCATTAAAGAAGAGAACACACCTGAAGTAAACTGTGGACTGTTGTCGCAAAGCAGCAAACAGGAAGCACCAAACAACAAAAATACCCCCTCTTCAATTCGTTTAGCCACTATTGGTGCAGTAGAAGATCTCGAAGGAAAAGTAAGCGTTAAATTAGTGAACAGATCGTAGACGACTGAAATAAAATTATTGCCAGCTATGGATCGAGGTAATGGACCTATCAAATCAGTACAAATTATTTCCCATGGACGAGTAGCCCTGGGTTGGGGTGTCATACGTCCTTTAGGACCACTCTGATCAACCTTATGCCCTGCACATACCACACATTTCCTTACAAAGGCAGCAACATCTGACCTAAGTTTGGACCAATAAAACCTCTCACTAATTCTTTTAAAAGTTTTCAACACACCCATGTGTCCAGCTATGACTCGCCACTGTTAGTACCGTATAGGGTGTTTTACTACTTTATCTATCATACCACTATACCAACGATCTTTGACAACTAAAATCTCACTAATCTTAACATCCTGGATAGCTCTTGACAAAGTATCCGGTACAATATGATCTTTACCCTCCTTACGATGAACAATCTTAAAATCGTATTGTTGTTTGAAACTCCATCTGGCCTTTTAGATTTTGTAACCACATCTGGGAATAATGGTAATAACTGTAAATGGACACCTTTTAAATACGGTCTAAGTTTCTCTATTGCACACAAGACAGCCATTCACGCTCCGTAGTGGAATAAAGCCATTCCTGCTTAGTCAACGACCAACTCAAATAACTAATTACTCGGCTTAATTCATTAAATTATGAAATAATATTTGACTACATTAGGTAGGTTACAATTACAGCAGAAAATACCTAAAATAAGTCGTATCTACTAAAAACTACTAGACTAATCCATTCATTCATAATTAAGCCCTTAATTATGGCATATATTCAGATTATGTTCATATTAGGCAGACAGATGTCAGATCGGCTGCCGCATTAGAACGAGCGAGACAAATGCTAAATTGAGCGGGAATGGTTCGTGGGAGGGAATTTGTTTATTTGAGGTGCGAACACGCTATTTATGAATGAATATTTACGACTACGACATTTGCTTTACACAGCTGCGTAATTTTTTAGAAATCATCTTCAACTATGATAGTTATAACGAGAAAAATACATTAAACTGATAATAATTGACATTAAGAACTTAAATATACTTTCTTAAGAGGGTTCTATACCCATCAGCTCCGTCAATTTCATACATAACCTCGAAATCCTCGTCCCTTACGTCTTCGCCATAATCCCCCCTTTAAGGCAGCCTGAAATACATTTCTGTGCATTTGTGGTTGCATAGTCTACCAATTCAACGAATATATTACAAAATAACCAATAAAGCTTAAGTTACTGCATAAAATCTAAAACCGGCGAAATATCGAATTTCAAACACTATCTCCCATTTAATACTAACAATAATTCTATGTTCCACGTGACGTCACCATCAGTCAGCTGCATGCGCAGGAACATATTGTTAGTCTGTGTATCGTGTTGTTTGCAGTTCTTTACATAGATAGGGAAGTAACTCTGTAATATTTATTGGTTTAGGCAACTGAACATACTTTTCGCGACTGGTGCGTCATCTGACATAGAACATATTGATTTTCGTTATCCAAACGTAAAAGAGGACCGTTGGGTGCAGCACCTCCCGGTGCCCTCTGAAATTTTTAAGCAATGTCCAATTTTAGAAAAAACTACTTATTTTTTTTCAAAAATGGTAAATACAGTTCAGTTCAGTGGCAAATGAAGAATGGCGGATGATAACATTTATACGTATATGACTTTTTTTAATTTTTTTATATTTTATTTTTTTTATGTTTATAAAAAAAAGTCATCATGCACCAATCTACGATGCATAAGAAGCTCGGATACAAAAAAAGATGATTTTTTTTGTAAGTATTAAGCCCGCAATTTGAACATTAACATTTCCAATATGGCGGACGGGTATAGAACCCTCTTAATGTAATTTTAAAAACCTTTTGTGCGTTTTTAAAGCCTAATGTTAAGTCAATACCGAATTATAACCATAAATAATCCTTGTAATAAGGAAGGCTCTCTCCCATACTCATAATTTGTAGACAATACCATGACTGCTTTCAATTCGATTTTTGTAAACAAAATTAGTCTAGTAGTTGTTCGTCGTTGCTTAAAATAGACGAATAAAATGTAAAATACATTTTTAAATCTAATTTTACCGCATGTACTTACTATGATTTACTTTTAAAATTTTATTACATTTCTGAGAATGCAATCCTTCTTCTTCAAATAGACTATAGACCAATGTACATGAGTGTTGATATCTCTTTTCAATTTTTATATAAATTCAAATAGGTACAAAAAAGGAGGATATACGACATCACGAACGTTTTGGAAGGCATTGGAATATTAGAAAAGAAATCGAAGAATAATATACAATGGAAAGGTGCGCAAGGTCAAAACAGTCAATTTTTGACGTTGAGCAAGCAACTGCAGAGCCTGGAAGATCTTGAAAATAACCTGGATAGGATGATTGTGTCGGCTGAGAGTGAGTTGAGCAAGTTGACTAATGACAGGTTAGTGCAAATATAAATATACTGTTATAATTACCCACTAGACTTCAGGGGTGTATACATCTTGGGATCTAGTAATTAATATGAGGTGTTTAGATTCAAATTCTACTAGTTTTGCGAATTTTATCAATTTTTCTTTTGTTTGAAATACACAAAATGTAGATAAAAAGTGCCTTCTTTCTACGTCCCAAACTCTGATTCCCCTCTGCTTTTCTCTCTCAAACTCTCCTTCGTTTTACCCTCTGCTACTTCTCTAATGTCTCTGCTACTCTTCCTTTGCTTGTTTGTATTTTAATCCTTAAATAAAACAATAATTATAGCAATAACTGTGATGATGGAGGTTAATAAAACTACTTGTTCACTTTCGTGTCTCTATCTAGAATGTTTATTTTATCCTTCAACTGTACAATCTGTCAGGTATCCACTGCTGCCAAATCATGTATAGTGTTACCAACATAATCACATCTTCTTTTTTATACAAAATTATAAGAAAAAATACAAATTACGAAAATTGTTATAGATTTAATTTTGTAGGTTTCTTTATTAGACGACCTGAAGATGTTTGTCTTAGTGGAATTTCTGAATCCGTAGTATTTTCTGTGAGGTCAGAATTTTCAAAGGAATCAGTGAGACTATCTTCAGTGATGTCTGAATCATTTTCATTATCAGAAAGGTTTGTAAAAAGGTTGCAGGAACTGGAACTAGTAATCGTCTGTTAATAAGTATTTAATGCATTCATTGTTTGGCCTGAAATGTCTAGAAATATACATTATTATTTCTCCTTCCGTCATCGATGGATCTAGATATTAAGCTGTTGTAAATAATTTAAGAACATAATTGCTCTAACTATAACTTCTTCCTTTCTTTTCATAAATTTTTTTCCTACATTACCCTTTGCAAAGTCTCCTCAATAATGTTCAATAAATAATTTCTCAAAATTTTATAGCAATTCATTTTTATTTCTTTACTTACAAACTACACAAAAACTTGATTGTATAAAGTTTCTCTAATGCCTGTTAACTTTATATTTTGTATCTTTCTTATATATATATTTCCTTCAAATTTGTGTTCTATTTTTACCCCTCCATACATATGTATGGTTCTATTTTATTATTTTCAATTTCAATCAACAATACCTTTCTTTTCTGTTCTATAATCATTTTAGCTTTTCCTCCAGTTCCTGTATTTTTTATTCCCTATTTCTTCTCTTCCTGTTTACATACTTTAATTTCATTATTCACATAATCATCAGTTTGTCCATTAGTTTCAAATTTTATTTCTTGATTTCTGTTTTCTTGAGTAGCTTTCCTTTCGATTTCCTCTAAATTTGATATTTTTGTTCCTTGGTCCTTTATTATCTTTTCTATATCTGTAGATATTTCTTTTCTTTAAGCCACTCCTTTTTCTTGTATTTCCCATCTTGTTCTTTTTCTATTTCATCTATTCTGCCTATCATTTCTATTTTTAAATTTTTGTTTGTTTCTTTAAATCTTCTACCTGTTTTTACTTTAATTTCTTCGATTTTTGTATTATTTTTTCTGTATCTTTTTTTTTCTATTTTCCTCCAAGCTGTTACTATTTCCATCCATATTCTTCATCAATTCTTCCTTTCTATTTTCTTGTCCATTTTGTTTCCCATTCTTTGCACTTCATTTATTATCTGCAACACATCATTTGATGGTACTCATATTTTCTGTCCCACTTTTTATTTCTCTTGATCTTTTTCTATAACTACGTCTTCAAAATTGTACTCAAATATGTCTCCTTGTCCTACTTATTCTACGTTCTCTTTATCTTCTCTTTCATCGTCTTTAACCAAAAACCTATATATACAAATACTTATAAAATGTAACTTTTCAGGTACGGTTACGTGACATACCACGACCTCCGTTCCATAGACTGCTTCCGGAACAAGACGGTGATGGCCATCAAAGCGCCGCCTAATACGCAGCTGTCCGTGCCGCGCACCGACAAGAACGAAGAAAAATTTTCGATTCAAATGAAAAGCGAAACGGGCGAAATCGACGTTTTTCTTTGTCCCGAAAATTTACCCCCTAGCAAGCCGAAACAAGTGCCGCCCATGGACATGCTCCTCAGGGATATCAAGCTTAGTCCGGCCGGTTTGTTTGATTTAACGACTCCGCCAGTGCCTCAGTTGGATAGTCCAACGCCCAGACCAATCTCCACAGACGTAAGTCATTAGATCAATATTTAGGTTCTTCTATAATGGAAATTTTATATTGTTTACCAAGTAAGAAAAGTCTAACACATTCCTGGACGACTGTGAAGATTGCTAAGTCGAGGCGCAAGCCGAGACTTAGCAACACAAAGTCCAGGAATGTGACTTTTCCTACGAGGTAAACATACTATTTTTCCGTAAATCGTTAAAAATTCGATAGATATTAATTAATTTTGAAAAATCGCGAATAATTTTATTCACAAATAAATGGGGCTTTGAAATTCGTAATAAAATTGGTTGCGTTACTACGGAAATGTATTAATGTTGAATTGTCAATCTAAAGAAAAAGTCAAGATTTCCTATCGATTTGCGGAAAAATATATTATTTTGAAACAGTGTCATTAAATTGAAGAAATAATTAAATTTTTAGAACTTATGCCTCTGAATTTGGCACAGGGTCATCTATAAAATGTAGGTCATCTAAAAGCATCGACCCCATACACCCAAGTCACATTTATTTCTTTATGTAGCACTTACAGAATGTAAAATTCCAAATAGTACATATCTAACCTAACACAAACAATTGTAGAGTTAAAAACAATATAAAATAAATTATAAAATATTAAGAAAAGGAAGAATAACACAACACCGTGGGACGACACGAGTAAAACTTTCAGAAGACATTCAGAAGGTACAAGTTCCGTTTCAGCGCCAAAATATTACAATTAAATATATCGCAGTCTGAGTAAAATTTGTTATAGTTCTTGTACTTTGTCCGTAATTGGTTGTTTTTTACATTTAAAAATGATGTGTGCCGAGTCCGTCGGAGAGGAACCAATAGCTGAACTTTTTCAAGCAGTGACCCGCACTTGATGGAACCACGTATTAATTTAGGAGTAAAGCCTGTTTTCTTCTGCATTCCAGGCTCTGCATGCTGCAAAGCATTAATCTTATTTGATAACAAGTGTTATGGCTATGAAATCGGTGCAGGTATTTTACGAATTTACGTTGCTAATGACAGGTGTAACTAGGTTTCCAAATAACAGAACAATATTCCAGGACACTTCTCACCAGTCCATTGTAAAGTATCATGATTGCTTTTGTGTCATTCACGTACCTAGTATGTCTCTTGATGAAGTCAAGCATTCTGTGGACTTTGCATACTATGGAATCTATATGGTTGTTAAAAGATATTGTGGTATCAAAAATAATGCCCAGATCAATAACTGTCGAAGATCGATCTATCTAGATTGACACTGTCAATACTATAACAGTTAAAAGTAGGATTGTGGGATCTTGTAAAATGCATGGTTGTGCACTTGAAATATTTATTCTCTGTCTAACTACCAAACTTACCTTTCTGTGTAGAAATGGGTGTAAAAAATATATTTGTTAATTTTACAACTGCAAGAAGAACCATTCTCAACAAAAAAAAGTGGAATTCCATTCTGTGTCTAGATCTTGATACGATTCATATTTCGATGAAATTTTTAAAAGAATTATAATATGACTCAATTTGTTCAATATTTGAAAATTCAACAAAATAATGAAACATTTAAACTAATAAGTCAGGATTTTAATTTCGAACCCCTTATTCAAATTTTCGTTGTTTTTTTTTTTTTTTTTTTTTTTTTTTTTTTTTTTTTTTTTTTTTTAAATCAATAGTCTTTGTCCTCTTCATTGTTGCTAAAAATTTTAAGTTATAACATTTTTCGTTCTTGAGTTGTTTTTTTCCGCCCATGTCCCCCTCCCCCCATTTTTATTTAGATTTTTTAGAATTAATAGGCATCATCCCTTTACAGAGTTTGATTTTTACCCAACATTTCATGTTGATATCCCTTTTCGGTTTTGTTTATGTCTCTTCCCCTACACAAGTCGATCAGTTGGCTTCAGGGGTTGAAATTTACTGATAAGGGGGGAATAATTAAAGAGAGTATTATTTTATTTTTCTTATTTATTTATTTATTTTTTTTTTTTTTTCGTTTCAACCTCTTTACCCCCATTTTTGTTCAAACACTTCGTCTCCTTATAGAGAGTTTGATTTTCCTGAAAATTTAAAGTTGATATTGTTTTTCGTTTTTGATTTAGCTACGATTTTTTTTAAGTTTCAACCCACCCCCTTTACTTATTTTTATTTAGATTTTTTTTCAAAATCAATAGACTTCGGCACCTTACAGAGCTTGATTTTTGCTAAAAATTTCAAGTAGATATTGTTTTTCGTTTTAGAATTTGGTTTTTTTTAATGTTTCAACCCTTTCTATTCCTCTCATTTCTGTTCAATTTTCTTTTTTCAAAATCAATAGGCTTCGTCCCCTTATATAGCTTGATTTCTCCTAAAAATTTTAAGTTGATATCATTTTTCATTTTCAAAATCAATAGTTTTTGTCCCCTTATAGAGAGCTTGATTTTTTCTTAAAATTTCAAGATTATATTATTTTTAACTTTAAATGTGACATCGGACCGATGGATGGACATTTTTAAAAGTTGTATAAAATTTGATGAGAAGAATATTGGTACAAAAATTTTTAAATTTGGATCAATATTAAAAAAATTTATTTTCCAAAGTAAACCTTAATAAACTACTATGTGAAGAGTATAATAATGGGACTGTACATATACAGTAGATATGTACAAAAAGTAACTAAACTTGGTAATATTTGGATTTCTGTTGGGTTTACAAAAAAATGTTTTATGTAATTTTTTTTAATATTGGTCCAAGTTTAAAAATGTTTGTACCAAAATATTTCTCATCAATTGTTTAAACAACAAATGTCACGTTTATTGTCCTCAAAAATGAAAGATAATATCAACTTGAAAATGTCAAAAAAAAAATCAAGCTCTATAAGGGGACGAAGTCTATTGATTTAAAAAAAAAACAATATCAACTTTAAATTTTCAGGAAAAATCAGCTCCATAAGGAGATGAAGCCTATTGCTTAAAAAAAAATCTGAATAAAAATGTGGTTGAAATATAAAAAAAAAACAAAACGGGATATCAGCATAAAATTTTAGTAAAAATCAAGCTACATGAGGAAATTAAGCCTGCTGATCTTGAAAAAAAAATCTGAATAAAATGGGGAGTTAAGGGAGGTTGAAATATTAAAAAAAAATCCTAACTTTTAAATAAAAATAGAAGGGGTAGAAATTAAAAAAAAATCAAATCAAAAACGATAAACCATATCAACATAAAATGTTTAATAAAATTAAAGCTCTACAAGGGAATGAATAAATAAAAATTGGGAGATAAGATGAGTTATAATATTGAAAAGAATCCTAACTTAGACACAAAAAACGATATCAAATTGAAATATTCTGGAAAAATTAAGCTTTATAAGGGGACTAGCTGTTGCCCGCGACTTGGCACTTGCGGAAGCTAAGTGGAGTATTCTAATATATAAGTTTATTAATTTACTTAAGAATCTCTTTGTATACTACATTTTTGGTACGATTCTCATCTGCTAATATCACCAGATTGTATGCGAAACTCACTTTTACATAAAACTGTCCATGAGAAAAGCAGTCCTCCCTTAGAGTGTCGGAAATAGAAATAGAATTTATTCATCTTTGATAATTATACACTATACAAAGACACTAGGTACATAATGTAAAATCCTGTCAGACTAGTCAAAAAAGTGTTAAAATACATTAAAAAATAAAATATATATAATAGACAATTCATGTTAAGATTAGTTTAAAAGTTCAAAAAATCTTCTATACTATAAAATACATTATTTGGATGGTTCAGAAGAAAAGTGGATCAAGTCCAATTTTCAACTTTTTTGAAATAATCGCCTTTACAGGTACATAAAACGTTGTTTATTTCAGTAGAGAAATGAATGAAGTCACACTTCATGTAATAAGCGGCTAGAGTCGATTTACATTTGGTTTCTGAATACTTTCTTTATTCGTTTCAGAAATGAAATGGATCAAGTCCATAAAATTCACTATTGTTTACGATTTTTTAATATAAACTAGTGGATAAACCTCGTATTCGTAAAAGCGGTCTCAGTGTATACAAGTTAAGTGCATTTGCTTAGAGATTAATCCTTGTTTTTCAAAATAAATGACAGTGGATCAGAGTCTGAACCATTTCAAGAAAGTGAATCAGCTTACGAACCTTCTGAGGAGTCTGGTATCAGCGAGGTTGAAGGTATGGTTTTTTTATTTTTACCATTACTTCCTATAATTGAGGTTGTGTTTTTGGTACTAATGTTTAAGTGTTATTCTCTAATGGCGCGCCTACGGGGTTTGATTAAAAGTTTTAGTTGCATTTTTTGTTATAGGCCATGAAGTTGTTCCCACACATAATATTGATCGCATTGAACAGAACATTGTTTTAGACACCATAACACAAGAAAATGTAGCCACAGATATTTCTAAAAAACTAGAAAGCGAAGTTTAAATAAAAATAATTGGAAGATAAATATAAAAAGACGTAAAAGTAATTGTGGTGAAGAATATATTTCTTCTTTGGGAAGACTGGTACCTTCAAAAACCTTCCAAGACGAAGCATGTAATTGCAAACAAAATTACAGCAATAAAATTCAAGAAGATCAGCGCAAGATAATGTTTGAATCCTTTTGGAAACTAGGTGACTTTTCGCCTTAAAATGTTTTTATACGGGGCTTGGTAACAGCAAAAAAAATTGCACGAAGACGAATAATAAGTGGTGCAGGGGCAGCAAAGCAAACGTCTTTTAAGTACAGCTTTCGGGTAGAAAATGAAACGATGTTTGTATGTAAGAAATATTTTGTAGATACACTACAAATTAGTGTCGGTAGATTATATCGCTGTACTTCAAAAGATGAAGTAGCGTCAGTAATAGATTCACGAGGAATGTAATAAAAAAATTTACTACCATGTGTTTAATACGAAGTTCAATTTAAGCTTTAAACCACCATCTAAAGATACTTGGTCTCGATGCGATGGACTTAAAATGAAAATTCAATGTGAAGATAATGAAGAAACAAAAATAAACTGAAAACAGAAAAAGAAGTACATCTTGCCAAAGCT